CAGCCATGCTGGCTGGGGAATCCTGGGAGTTGAAGTCCACGTATCTTCAAGTTGCCAAGGTTGAGAAACACTGCACTAAGCAAATAGTGTGGCTTTGGGCTGAATGCAGTTTACAGATCCTACAGATGTGGTTTGTTGAATCCAACACAATTCAGCAGATGGTGGCCCATCAACCTCTGTAGCCTCTGTAGCTTTGGATCACCACCTTCTGGCCTCTGGCTCTCTGGTAGCTGGTGATATCTGAAATTCCCAAGCAGGTTTCCTGTCCCCAAGTTGCAGAATTTTTCCTTCACCCTCTTCTGTCCACCTAAGACAATCCTTGGGATGACCCTATGTGTGTTTGAGAGCAGAGGGGCCCTACGTCCATTAAAACATTGACTTTAATGAACCAATTACACTTTCTGGAATAACCCCCCCGGTGCAATACTCTGTGGTGCTGTTCTGAAAGCAGCAGGATTAGGGCTTAAGCCTGGTCTTCCCCAACCGGTTGTGCTCCAGATGTCATTCATGACAAGTCCACTTTTCCCAGAGACCTCGCTGGGTCCAATCCGAGGATGTGACGGCGGGAAAACTTGCTCTGTTTTGTGTGACTGTGCCATAAAGGAGGAGAGGAGCAACACCAAGAATATTTTTTTACCCTTTGTAAAGAATTATGTGAGTCATAAATTATTACCACTTAGCTCTATGAGAAGCTGTGTCTGCGCCAAGGAGCCATATTAGACATCTCGGTGCTGTCGGAAGGTGCGGGAAAATTAAACGCTGCATTTAGCTTTGCTTGGAGCAAAAAAATCTCAGCTTCTCTTCTTAATTACTGACTACTATTAACACCTAGCAGAGGTAAAACATTGCAAGGGGGAAGTGGCTTGTGTTCTTCTCGTACATCTCTACGTGTGTGCGTTGGGCTCCGCGAAAACATCCCTTCGAGGAAGATGGAATCACAGCACGGGAGGAGAAATACTCCATTTCAAAACAAATGTATTTGATACTGCATCTATAACAAACGAGCAAAATTCCCTAGGGGTAATGGGAGGGTGTAGTTCTCAAAAAAACCTTTTCCCCCAGGTTGCCATCTGCCAAGTCTCGTAAAGGGGGACATTTGAATCGTGGCATTTTTGGAGGATCTTGATGTTCTTGGCAAAGGTTAGCCCAAGGACTTGGGATGGCTTGAGAGATGGTGAAGGTGTTATAGGCGTTCTCTGATCATCTGGCTAGTTGTTTTAACCTCTGGGCCAGTGTTTCTCAACCTTGGCACCTTTTAGATGGGAGGACATCAACTCTCCAAACTCCCCAACTTTCAGATGGGTGGACATCAACTCCTAGAACTCCCCAATGGGAGGATATCAATTCCCAGATTTCCCCAACTTTCAGATGGGAGGACATCAACTCTCAGAATCCCCCATCCATCTAAAGTTGCCAGTGTTGGAAAACACTGCTCTGGACTGTCTTCAAGGGCTGGACCAAAGGCAACATGAGGTGGCGGTCGAAATACTTGCATGACTGGTTTGTGTTGGTGGCCTGGGCTAGTGACATTCCTACTTTTGAGACTCCTGTGTTAACTTGCCCTCTGTGGAAACTTGCATCGCTGAGGATGTCGTTTTGGGATCCTCGGGGATACCAGCCAGGTCTTGATTTTGACAACTCCCTCCCCTTTTGACCAGGGAACCTGATCTGGAATGGGGGCCCACAAAAGGCATCTCTGTTGTTGGCCATGTGTTGGCTTCCCAATAGCTTAAAAATTCTTCTTTTGTATTTAAAAAAATTTTTTTTTGCCAAAGACCGTCGAGGGTGAAGGATACGTTAAAAGAACGCTGTAAATGATCCACCGCCTTAAACTCTAAAACCCAAATTTCGGATGTGGCACAATTCCACGCGTCCGGTTGTACTCTTAAGAATGGTTTTCACGTAGAACTAAATTCTACAGCAGATTTGCCTTTTCAGTTATTCTAGGCCTCCCAAATATAGCTAGCCAGTCTTCCGAGGAGAGGTTTAAAGATTGTTCTCAGTAAAAAGCATATAGAATTCTTGCAGCCTTTAATATAGACCAGTGTTTCTGAACCTCAGCAACTTTAAGAGGTGTGGATTTCAACTCCCCCGAAATCCCCCCCCCCGCTGCCCGGGGGCTGGGGGCGCGGGGTGGGGGTTGATATACCCCCCCATAAGTTTTTTGTGTTGTATATCTA